AATATCGAACTCATTTGCGAGCGCGGCAAACTAATTCCGATGGCGCCTCCAACGCCGCCTCCTGCACACCGCGCTCGACGCGCCCGCGCCTCGGCCTCGATGCCAGGGGGCTGCTGCGCAGATCACCTCGGCGCGACCCAACGCTGCAGGCGCGCCGACGCGCGGTTTCCATGTGCCAGAACAGCCAGACCAACCTGACCAGCGAGAGGAGGCGGGCCCTGCTGAGCCTAACGCTGAGAGTGGATTTTCGCACTGCGCCGAGATTATGCTATCTGGCCATGATGCGCCAGACTAAGCTGCAGAGATGGGCCCTGCGGAGCCTACTGCAGCACTAGAACTGGCGCTTCGCGCCACAGCTTTGATCAACAACAAGGGAGACAAGCGCTGCAAGGGAGTGCGGCCCGAGCCAAGCCCGCCGCAATGGCCGCGTGAAGGCAGCAACTTGCCCCCTGCACGCGGCGAGAGCGCACCCTGCAAACAGAACTCCCCCTGCAGACCCCGCTCAGCTGAGCGGGGGGCACAACCCCCGCGAGAAGCAGCCGGTGAAATCAGAGGCCGACGCAGAGGATTATATCCACGCCGCGAAGGTACACATGCAAAAAGTGCAGGATATTCAGCTGTGGGCCTGCGCGGAGCAAGGTAAAGTCAAAGACGCCGACATCGAATCCTTCCACCGCGCCCCGGCGCGGCATTGCGCCGCTCTGGCAGCCCTCGCGGCCTCCGGCGAGCACAAGTGGGCGCTGGCTTTTGCCTCCCACTCGGCGCGCGCCGCGCTGCCGCGCCCTGGATTGGGCGGCCGCGCCTGCGCCCGCAGTTGTTCCCACTTACTTGGATTAGGGTACTCCGCAGGTTCTCCATTGGTGTTCGTGTGATTCTTCCGAGAGCTCCTCCTCCGCGTCCTTCGCTTCCTCCCCCTCACCCTCCTCCTCCTCCTCCTCCTCCCCCCCCTCCTCCTCCTTCTCCTCCTCCTGATCCTCCTCCTCCTCTACCTCCTCTCCTCCTCCTCCCCCTCTTCCTCCTCCTCCTCCCTCCCCTCCTCCTCCCCCTCCTCCGCCTCCTCCTTAGCCTCCGCCTCCCCCCCCCTCCTCCTCCCTCCTCCTCCTCCCTCCTCCTCCTCCTCCTCCTCCTCCTTCCTCCTGCTCCTCCTCCTGCTCCTCCTCCTGCTCCTCCTCATGCTCCTCCTCCTCCTCCTCCTCCTCCTCCTCCTCCTCCTCCTCCCCCTTCCCCCTCCTCCCCCTCCTCCCCCTCCTTCTCCTCTTGTGGGTGGTTCGAGGCCGTGTGCAATTTAATGTTTGACGCCTCGCGTATCTCCACCAGCTTTCGGGCGCCCCCTGCACTTTCGCTCGCGGCCGCGAGAGAAATAATCCACCAGCTCCGTAACCCCCTCTGGCTCAAGCCCTCTCTGGCTCAAGCCGTGTCGGCTCGAGCCCGCCCCTGACTCAGGTCGGCGCGCGCTCGGGCCCGCGCGCGATGGCTGGCGGCGCCGGCCGTTCGGCGCCGCGGGCAGAGGGCCGCGGCCGCCGTTCGCGCCGCCGGCCCCTCCGCCGCTGGCGCCAGCGCTGGCGCCGCCGGCTGCGGCGGCCGCAGGCGCCACTGGTGCTGCCGGCGCCGCTGCTTCTGCCGCTACCGCGGCGCGCGCAGCGGCCGCCGCGGGCGCCGCTGGCGCCGCCAGCGCCGCGTGCCAGGGGCCGCGCGGGCGCCGCCGCGCCCGCTGCCTGCGCCTGGTGCGCAGCTGGCGCCGCGGGCGCTGCCGCCGAGGCCGCCGCCGCGGCGGCTGCCGCAGGCCTGTGGGCCGCCCTGCAAAGCGCGCCATGCCACCCCCTCTCTGGCGGGGGCGCGAGCTCGACCGCCGAGACGGGCCGGCAGCCCGACGGGGGGGCGCCCATGGCGTGTCGGATTGGAAGTGGGTGGACGCCCAGTCTGTTCGCCGATCGCCAGCAGTCAGGACCACGGGACTCCGACGCTGGAAGGCCGCTCTATAAAGTCCGGGCCCACGACTTTCAGTGGTAATCCCACAGGAAGTCACCAAACGAGACGATCAGACACTTGCAGGTCACCCTGGGTGCGTCGTTCACAGCCGTCTGGCACGCCTTTGCCGAGCAGCGCGCTGCCCCTGGCTCCGCGCGCTTTCGACGCGCGTCGGCGCGACCAGCGAACCTGCGTCGTCTTCCTGGCTTCATTTCGCAACCGCAGCTGCGATGCTCGGGCCATGAGCGACTCACTGGGCCTGGGAGTCGATTTGGTTCACTGGGGGGAGTTTCGATGCAGAGCGCCTGGCGCGCACGTCAGTGCGCGCAGGGTTATGGCGAGCGCTGCTCCTTCTGATTTTTTGTTTCAGCGGTTAGCTGGCTCCCCCTCTCCTGTTTCGCTGGAATCTTCCCTCGCGGCTGGGGTTGCCGCCAATGCCGCTGCCGGATGGTGCTCCGTCAGCTTGGATCCCACGCAAAGTTTCACACTGGGAGCGGGCGGCGAGGTGCCCACTGGCTGTCCTAGGCCGGCGCCGCCCCCCATGCTGATGGCCGAAATGGTTCAGTTGGATTTCGATGCGTTGCTGACAGCGACGGTGCAAGGACTTCGAGCTCGGCAAGCGTCGTTATGAGCGCTCGCTTTCCACGGGAGCTGATTTGGCGCAGCCAGGGTTGGCATCGCCACGGCTGGCACAGTCAGGTTTGGCATAGTCAGCGCGGACGCAAATGGCACAGCCACGATTGGCACAGTCAGCATAAACTGCTCGAGAATATGTTTCTTCCCCCCTCCTCTCACACCGTGTGCCTGGCGTGCACTTCCTTCCCTCCCCTCCTGCGCCCTAATGCTGCAGCGGTTCGCTGCCACACCGGGGTGCCTACCGTGCCTGGCGTGCACTTCCCCCCTCTCATCCTGCATCCTTATGACGCAGCGGCCAGCTGTTGCACCGGGGTCCTTTCCCTCCTGTTTCACAAGGTTCTTCTTTGGCGGCTGGGGCTTGCTGCCCAATGCTGCTTCCTGATGGCGTTCATGTGATCTGGAATGCATGCAAGGGCTCACGCAGGGAATGGTGCTGCGTCGCACTCGCTGAGGTTAGGTGCCCTCTGGCCTGTCTCTGGCTGGTGTCGGCCCCTACTGATGACCTGAAGGTTCCAGTGGGTCTCTCGCTACACTGCCTACCTTACGGTGCCTGAACCTCGGGTTCGGCAAGTGTGGCTCTGTGCGCTCGTTGGCCGACGTTCTCCTGCGTGGATTTCGTTTTCGACACGTGTTGCAGGTGTTGTTGCCGTTTGCAATCTTGTCGGTGATGAGGTTGCCCCCTCTTCACTCATGCGCCGACGCGATGTTCTGGCATGTGTGTCGCCTACTTCACGGATGTCGGCTGGGTGCGCCTGGCGGTGTAGTTCGTCTTTGACGGTGCTGTTTGCCTGACTCAAACCGAGCGGTCGACCTCTGCGCGTTTATGGTCGCGCCGCCGCGCAATTTTGGTTGCGCTTGCTTGCTGGTCGCCACCGGGATTTCCAACGCCACCGGGTTTGGGAGCATCGGTCATGGTTTTCCTTCCGAGTGGCTGCCCGCTCGCTCGCTTCGTTTGCCTTTCTTTTCCTGCTGCCTAGTCGCGGCCCGAATAGTGTTCGGACGGCTTGCGACCCGCTTCGCGAGCCTGTTGACCAGAAAGTATTTCCATCAGCCCATCCAGACGCAGATCGTCAGGCGAGTTGCCTTGGGAAGGGGAGTGCAGAAGAGTGCAGTGCAACAGCCGCCTTGGAAGCTTTTTTTTCCCCCCCAGAGGTCTCTTGGAACCATTTGGGGGCTCTCTTGCGGTCCTTGCGGAGCCTCTTGGGCATTTTGGGGGCCCTCCTGGGGTTCCTCTGGGGCCTTCTTTGGGCCTTTTTGGTGCTCGTTGGGGGGGTCTGGAAGGGGGGGGGCTCCTGGGGCCATTCTGGCCCACGTGATTCCAAACGGGGGGGGTATACATTCAGGCCCCCACCCTGGGAGGCTCAAGGCCGGGGGCGTGAGGCACTCTTTGGGCGCTCTTGGGCTTGGGCGCTCTTGTGGCCCTCTTGGGGCCATCTTGAGGCTTCAAGAGCCCATCGGAAGCGAAAAGGCTAGAAGGCAAACAACATTGATGTCCCTTCGGCTTTGGAGCCATGTTGGCCTGTTTGGGGGCTCTTCGGAGGGTTCGCAGGACACTTGTGGGCCGTATTGGGGCCTCTTGAATGTTTGCCGGAGGCTATCTTGAGCCATCTTCAGGTATATTCTTGAGCACTCTTGGAGCCATCTTGGGCCATCTTGGGCGCTCTAACCCCTCCGTCCCCGCCCCCTCCTAGGCCCAGGGGATGGGTCAGGGAGAGGGGTAAACCCTTCCACCGAGCAGGGCAAGAGGGGTTTGGGCAGAGAGAAGACAACGTTTTGTTAAACCACCTACGCGCAAAAGGGCTGGTGGGTCTCCCGAGTAGGCCGAGCACACGCCGAGTGAGATAGCACGCCTTCGCCCTCTCGATATCATATTACACAGCGCAGGACACGCGTGGCATGCAGAGGCACAGATGGACCAATAAGGACATGTTTTCCATCCATCCATCCATCCATCCATCTATCCGTTCATTCATTCATTCATATTCATTCATTCAGTCATTCGTTCATTCATTCCTCCTCCTCCTCCTCCTCATCGTCCTCCTCTTTTCTTTTTCGTTTTTTTCTCCTTGGGAGAAATCCAGCCTTGCAGATGTTGCGCGCGCCGATCCTGGCCAAACCAGTCTTGGAGCCAGGACGGGCCTGGCCAAGATCGTCGTGGATGCACAGTTGGCGTCATTCTCATTTCTCGCACGACGAGAATCCGCTTCAAGGCTGGTCATCGGACACTTCACAGGCACCTTCCTCACCCGTGCCCCGAGCCGCGAACACCCGTGACTTCCCCAGGGCTGCTTTCTCGTCCTGGGGGGATTTTGATTGTCCTAGGCAGAAAAGCGTTGACAAAAATTGCCGTCGTGATTTTTCCGCGACGCCAGAAGATTTCAGCCCTCTTCCTGGAGGCATGGACGGCGTCGCCGAGATGGAGCACCTCGCGGCTTCGGCCATCTGGGGCCAGGACCCCCGGAGTCGGAGCCGGGTAGGGGAGTTCACAGGTGCAGGGCCAGAGGGTCGCATAGGCTGATGCTGGGCGGGATTGCTCTGGGGCAGAGGGGCTCATTCCAAACAGCGACAGGAGCATGGTTGACATAAAAAAAAACAATTCAAAATGAGGGGATCATGCAGCGTCGGGAATGCAGCCAATCACGCGCGTAGGATTTCAAGGTTTCCGAGGAGGCCTGACAATTTTAGAGGTCGTCGAAGCAAATTTCGAAGGTGATTGGCACAATAATCGACATCCATTGTTCAATATTCGTGATACCATGTCGACCTTTGCCGGTGCGACTGGGGCCGATTGCGATAAGTAGCGTTTTGGTTCAGATGTTCGTTTCGGTGTTGTGATGTCAACATGTTCGCGCTGTTTTTTTTGGATGGCATCGGCCGTGGCCGCATATATCTGTATCAACTGCTCGCATGGGCCCGACCGCCATCAGAAGTTTAGATCAGGGAGGCCTTGGAATGAGGAATGGATCGTGGAACGTTTGGAAAATCATGCTCAGGAACACACTCTGGAAAAGTTCGCCCAGGAGGAAGCCAATTCTAGTATAGTTGCATTGGCGTTGATCTCCCCAGGCACCGCGATGGAGGGGCCGCTGACACAATTCAACCGAGAAGAACGCTTTTTGTTTGAACTCTGGGGGCGCCCTTCTGATTTTTTCTCTGCCCACATTTCCGCAATTGCAGTGAACAACGAATGGCCACGTGCAATTCATCCAGAGCGGTTTGTTCTCAGTCGGAAGGATGTTGTGTTCGAGCTTTCGTCTGCTCAATTGGATGATCTTCTGGGCGTTGACTTTTCGATTGCACCGATGATGCGGGAAACCTCAGTGAACGATCTGGCATCAGAATGGGGCGTCCTTTTACCATCATTGTGCCTTCAACTGCCGTATCCGATTGCAGCCCTTGCTTGTCGGTGTGACTGGACCAGGATTGGTTTCTTGGCAAGATGGTTCCAGCCGAAAGCAAGACCTTGTATACCAGATGTATTCGACAGGCTGTGGCCCCCTGCAGAGTGGCGAAACTCGCGCGCAGGCAAGCACGAACCAGAGGCCAATTCTGAGGACAGGCGCCAATTCAACACATCGAGTTTCTTCTCCCTCGCAGCTTCTCGTCTACGAGGGTGGGCCCCTGCTATCATAAGGGAATCAATTTCTTCAGCTGGCCCCGAGGGTGGTGAAGACACTGAGGCAGACCTGGTGCACCTGGTCCAGGGCTTGGATGCATTGGGTTGCCAACTTCATACTGGGACGGCTTCGAGTTCAATGAATAGGGTCTCCGATGCAATTGATTCATCGCATTGGGGGCTGAGGGTTTACCGGGCTGCACACATCATTGAGTGCATGAGGTTAGCAGGCATGCTGCGTGATAGAGGCTCAGTGAGACGATCCCTGGAACACGCTTTGAAGATTGCTTTGCCGGCGGATCTAGCACATGTCGCATGCAAGCATGTCCAAACAATCCAAGTCCCGTCGCGTGCTACTCTGCATCGGTACGCGTTGTTCTTCGACGTTGCGTTGATGAAGTGGTGGGCGCACAACGGAGGCCTATCTGAGTGCGTTTTGTACATTTGGGCAGATTCATCTCCTCAAGTAGGTCATGATTGGCTTCTGGCAGACATGCGCTTTATTCCGAAGAGCCACATCGTAAATTTGTATAGAGCGACCGTCAGACTGGAACGGTGCCGAGGGCGCACTGAGACGGATGCCGAATTATTATCAGATGATCTGAAATCAGAACTTGGGATGGATCTTGTCCAACACATCCAAATTCACCACCTTGCCCCAGGAGGTTTGGGTCTGAAGGTCCGAGGGCCGTTGTGACGAGTATCCATACGCGACTGCCCTGCCTTCCTGGCGACTCTTGATTGCAAGCTTAATATTTCGCCCTCACTTCTGGGAGTGCTTGCAACCAGGGGCCGCTGGAGTGGCTGGGACTGGAGCATATGAGTCCACGTCTCCGTTCCCGAAGGCATCTTCCCTCCAGCATAAATTGAGCGTGCTGCTGCATATGCTGAGGTTGGAGACGGCTTCCGAGGCAGACTTAGGTATAATCATGGGTGCGTTTCGTTCTGGGGCGTTCGATATGGGCACGGAGCTGGGTCTTGCAGAACACGCGCGCCTGGACTTACAACATGTGCTCCTAGAAACCTCTGCCCTGGGTGAGCTGGTAGATGATAACGGCTGTCCTGAACACGTTCCAGAGTCAAACGCTTTCATGTTTGGAAATATGCTGCCGGTTCCTGCGATGGCTCATATTTGTCACAATCTCTCCTCTGGCCTCCTGGACAAGATGCCCCATTATCCTGAGTGGGTCAAGCAACTGAAACATCTCGCATTGTTTCTAGCAAATGGTGATGCTCGGAATCGATTCAGTCACTTCTGTCTTGTTGGTCCTGGTGCTCACTTTCAAGCTGTATTCAAAAACGGTATAAGACAACACGTTGACTGGCGTTGGGGGTTAATCGTCGAGGAGCTGAAAGCATTGCTCAATAATTTCATGATGCCTTTGCGAGCTTTCTGGGACCCAAGCAAGTTTCAGCAGCGCGCACGCGAGGAGGAACGCGATCGCAGGACAGACGGCGAGACCGATCTGAACAATAGTATAGCAGCTCTGACACCGATTATTCAGGGGACAAAGTTTTGGATTTGGGGGCATGCTTTGCTGGAATTGGAAAACATGATTCATGAGTTGAGCAACTGGTCCGAAGGATGCCCGTGCCACGAAGCCCTATTTGTTCATAAGACCCGGTGGTTCAATGAGAAAGCCTACAACGAAGAAATTCGATCTGGTAACCCTTCTGCACACTCGTGCCCGAACAAAGGTAATCGAGCCCCAGAGCTGGCGGCAGGGCGAGCCAAACGTGTGTTTGATCAGATCGCTGCCAAGTCTTACAGCAACATTGTTGTTTTTGCAAACACGTTGCATGCGCCGCCTATGGAATTGGAATCTGTGCTGCAGGAGTTTGATCATTCGGCTGCGCCAGCTCCGCCGCTCTGAAGCGATTCCTTTTCCAGGCCCACTGCCGCGTTATATCCAGAGGGGGGCGGGGGCTTCTTTCTTGGCTAATCTTGGGCTCTTTGGGGGAAGCAGCTTATTCGCTCGAGACCTTTGTTCGAAAGGATGTTCGGACATTGCACGAGCTCATGCGTGGTCTGTCCTGGAAGTGAAGCTCACGTTTTGGAGAGTGATACCATGGCGGCTATGCGCCCTGGCACACAGCGACCCAACTGTTGTTCGAGAGTGCGCTCGAGATGTTTCGCAGCAATGGGATCGACGGCCCGACCCGCAGCTCCACCACCGAGTTAGTGTTCGATTCCTTCAGCCTGAGGAGACTCTTTTGGCTGGTTGGGGTAGTGCAGGTACGTCAGGAATTGTTGAGAATAGTTTGAATGACTTGAGCATAGCTGTAGGAAGGGAGGACAGCTCGAGGAAGGGGGAGGCGAAGGAGGACATGTAGAAAAAGGAGGAGAGGATAGGGGGAGAGGCCCTGTCATGTCTGGGGGGAGGCCAAAGAGGGATCATATTGAGGAGGGCAGAAGGATGCGGAGAAGGAAGAGGCGAGGGGAAAGGAGGTGAGTTGTTTTTTTTTCATACATGAACACATGCAACACACGTGCTATTCTCCAGGGGGCCCTTCGGCGTCAAGTTGATTCGGTCGCGGAGGGCAGGCCGCTGCGAGAGTCACCCGAATTAGAGTTCGAGGCTGCTTGCCTGAAGTTTGTCAGCGTGGCAGAGCGGAGAGTTGAAGCTGGGCGCGCTCACTGAACGTGGAATCTCGAGCTGTCGGCCCATCTTATGTCAGCAATGCTCGTCGCATGCCAGAGTTCGAAAAGATGCTGAATGAAAGGTCTGCCTGGGGGGGGTATCTGAATGTACTTCGGATCTGGGGCGGTAGGCCCTCGGCTTGACAAGATCAGACAAGCTTCATGTCGATTATCGGCGTGGGCCTGACTTGATCGTGTCAAACCAGGGGGCGCAGGCATAAACCAAAAACGTGCAACCAAACTCCACTGTTGGGATGGTTCGGTTTCCATGGGGTACCCGTGCATCCTTGACTTGGACGCCCAAAGTGCCTGCATCTCGGTCGTCATAGCGCGCCCTCGCTTTGGAGTTTGGTCATTTCACTGTCCCCAAGGTCGACTATGCTGGAGGAGGTTGCTAAATGCCTAGAGCAGGTTCGGAGCCCTTTGTCAGTTGCGTCTACCCTTGGTTTTGAGAACCACCCTGCTCTACGGGACATCAGATCTTCAATGAAACATTCGACGCTGGCCCATTCAGATGTTGAGCGTATCGTTTATCATTGCGATGCTGCGTCGCAATACATGAGCCAAGCAACAGCGACCAAAAAGCAAACCGATGCGAAGAAACGTGATGACAAAACCCGCAACGCCCTTTCTCACAAGCAAGAGAGAAAGATGAGATCGATGGAATCCGCTCTTCAGAACTTCGCTTTGGACCATTTCCGCTACGTCTCAGACCCAACCAAAATTTACTCGTGGTCAGTCGTCGATGCCCCTGGACCTGGTGCTGCCAATGTCAGTCTGCATTCTCTCAATGAGTATTTGACTACCCCTCTTGGAGTGGAGTGCAATAAGTTTTCTGTCAATGAAGTGGCCGAGATCGTTGCCTCAACCGCGGCCTCAAACGCTGATTTGGAGTTACAAGACGATGACGGGATGGCCCCTGGTGTTCCTGATGTGCAAGACATCGTGCCAGCAGCAGCTACTGATCAACGAATATTTTCCAGGTAATCGACAAAAACCCTTCCAGACAGAAGACCATGCGCTTGCCAATCGCTACTGGGCGTAGGCTCGCAGAACAAGACATGGCGATCACGATCCACAAGCCCATCAGCACCAGCGGGGCCAATGTCGCAGTCAAGAGTACTCCACATCAAGTGTCCTTGAGTGGGAGCCCTGTGGCGATCCTGACCGGAGTGCAAGGAAAGCACGCCGACTT